ACAGGCTGCATTAACTGCTCATATCGCCTGGAGCTCCACTACACTTTGGACTGATACCAGCAGCCTTTGAAACATTTAAGCAAGGATGGATCCAAGGATGGCCATGCCCTCCCAAAAGGATTCCTCCCCTCCTCCTTTTTTCAAACATAATGAAAGGTGATGGTTAGGTCGATTTCATTTCCTTTTCTTCTGAAACCTGTAAAAAGTATCAACCTGTAGCCTGTAGCCTCACCCCTCATAAAACCCATAAAAACTTACACAAAATAATCCCCCCCCCAATTTTTGACCCCCAAAACAAGTTGGGGCCCTCAAAAAAATGGTTTGGGATCTGCCTCATCGAATAAAAATGGATACTGCTATTGGAAACATTGTATTTTATTATTTTTTTTTTCATTTCTAATGGCTTACCCAAAACTCTTTTCACCCATATGTATAACTGAACCAAGACAGATGAGATTTTGTGTGTACCTGCAGATTTCTCGTTCATTTCCAGGTTCAATACAACACTGGATCTTTACATGGATACATGCACACGCTGATTTGTCCTATATTTCTAGAGTTTATTTCGCCATCTTCATTTCCTTTTTTAATAAATTCCTTATCTTAATCAGTTTTAATCCTAATGAATTACTGAAATGTACCGTTGACAAAAATAAAATTACTGGTACTCTCAGAATAAGATCCAACCAATCACAACAAGAAAAGACTATGTCACATATCTCATAAGGCAGACACTTACTCATACTTAAACTGTTTACAAGCCAAGTATGGTCTAGGAACCACTTATTGAATGACATTTGTAACACGACACTTGACAACCACAGCTTATAGCTGACAGCTGAGGATGTTTACTGCATGCATTCGTTTCTATGGTGATGCGCTGCTCTAGATCCAACCGGTGTGTATACAAGATACATATGGAAGACATTATGTCAGAGATGTTAGAGGAATAAGATTGAATTGGTGAATACCAGAAATGACATCTTCTTACCTATCTCGGATTTACAATGTACATGTAAGGCAGGAAATGTAATGTCTATTTCCGCGGTGCTAAAAAGTATTTACGTTTGTAAAAGTACCGGTACATGAGTATGATAGTGTTAAATTGTTTATCTGTGTAACCTGGTAACCATTTTCATTTCCTTAAATAACCACATTTGTTTGTAAAATGAAACCCCATGGGAAGAACAACATGGTCACAGATACACATGTACACATACATACCGGTATGTGTGGTGTAACCACATGCATGTGCGTACATACTGGGCATATGCATGTACAGTGATTTTCATGTATTAACCCAAACAGTCCCAAATCCTCCAATTTCAACATGATTTTACATACACCCTTGGGGGTTAGGGCTAAAACAAATTATTTCAAATAACATGTACCGTACTTCAATTTTCACATGTACATTACGTGTACACACAATCTTTTTTAGGGCTGAGTCAATTCGAATAATTCACTATTTGAATATTCAACCTTCAATTTGATCGAATATCCGAATATTTGGTTGTACTGACTGTCAGATTGTTGATGAACAAACCATATACAAAATCAGTTGCAATAATACACACATTTGTACATTATGACGTTCTAAATAATGGATAAAAGACAGTAATCCTTATTTCCGATTATTCAGTGAACACAGTGGATTTGGGGAACATGATCCAACATTGTCACTTTGTGAATAAATCCCAAAGGAATTCAGATCATAATAAAAGTGTACTTTGCAAATAGAATATAAACAAACAAATGTCTGACTCTCAGCATCTGCTGGTTGCTGGAAATACATGTGCATGCAGCCCTTTCTCACTACACTGGCTACGGTGTATCTGATGTCCAACAAAAAGTTTACCCTAACCCTCCTCAATCCTCCAAAATCCTTTGGATGATTTTGGTGGATTTTGGAGGAAGACTGGCATAAAACTGTTGCTGCTTGCAAAGGATGCATTGTGTCAAGGTTGTGGGTAAGACCTTGTGTTGTTAATGCTCAGCTATCCATAAGTTCATGCCTCAATTACACATAAAATCCTCCACATTGCTCCAGGATACCATTTGCACAGCCTCAACATACAGTATATCTAACGACAGCAATTGCCAGAGGATTTTGAAGGATTGATCAAGGCAGTGGGAACTCCTATTCAACAAATATTAGAGAACTTTGGAGAATTGAGGTTGAATGTAATTTTTTGCGGGATAATTGGAGGATTTTGAAAGATTCAGGATGCTGCCTAGCCAAAAGGCCTAGGGGTTAGAGTTAAAATAAGGCTCATACCTCATAAGCAGCCAAACAGAGAGGTGTCCTCCCAAGAGCATCTTGGATGTTAATATCTGCACCCATCTTGACCAGAAGTTTGACCATATCTAGCTGCTTATTGATAACTGCACGAGAAAGGGGTGTCATTCCTGCACATAAAACAATTAGAATATGTTACCAAGGAATGACAAGCAATTTTAGGAAAATTCATATCTGATCATCTTCTACCATTACTTACAAATTCTTATAGTCTTGACAAGTGGCTGATACTAGAGTAAATGAAATAAACTATAATCATTTGTTGACTTGATAAATATAGTAATTTGCAAGTAGTTGCACCTTTCAAACTAACAAGAGAAAAAAAATCATTAAACTTGATTTAAGGACAGCAAAAAGAGAAGAAAGTGACTGAACAGAGCACGGACTGATAATTGAGTCTGTGCAAGGATATGCAGCTACCGGGATACTGTGGTTCCATCTCAATTCAACCTACACGTAGTCTTTACCCTGTTTCTTCTGTGTGTCTTTCAGCCAATGTCTCAGCATGCATGACCTATCACATACTGTGAATATTCTCAATGAAACAAGCTAATTTTAGCTGCAGTGTGTTTTTCACTTAGCCTCCGCCTCTGATGTCACAGTGCTGTTTCAACAATCCATTATTTTGCACAAATGAAGAGATGCTGACAGCTCTTTGCCAATATTTTAAGATGATATCTTCACCACTCCATTCATGTACAAAATAATGGAGTAGAAAACTGAGCAAATAAATAGGGCTGTACCGAATATTCGAATATTTGATCATTATCGAACATTTGAATACATTTTTCTTCTCTCATTCTGACTACATACATGTACCATGCTGGCACATCTCATTCATGTTGTACATGTAC